TCGTCCCCTACTAGCGTACGTCATTTGTTCGTTTGAGGACGTGAACTGTTCTGAAAAACATTTTTGTAGTTGACCATAAGGAATTCAAAGTGACAATGTCAATGTGCAGGATATTCTCTGCAGATTCCGGCTAATAAGCATTCAAGAAAAGGCGTGAGAGATCTATGTATTGAACCAACATGCAACAAAACTTTGTTAAATTTTTCTACTTTTTAATTCTATTTTTTATAATTATAAAATTTTCCTTAAATGATATGCAATACCAAAAACTCGGCTTAACATTAGTAGAAGCAGTTCGTTCTATATAGATTTAGTGCTCCTACTTCATGTTTTGCATCTTACTGCTGATAGTATAGCAAGTTTTTCTCAGACTCCTTCATCTCTCATTCGTTTACCCTCAGTTCTGTTCACCATGGTTGAGCCATTGCGAAAAATAACAATGCTACATGAAATGTAAGTAATCAGATTACAAGCTTATATAATTTTTAAAGGATTCGTATATGGCAAGACCGCACGAGAAGGCACTTGTGAATGTGTGCAAGAGGTAATAATAGTCTTGCAATACGGATTCCAAATCTACTATTAGTGTCTGCTTCTCTGCTATGATGACCAACTCGACTTTCCAAGTGAAGTAGGTAAGCTCCTAGTGATAACTATTGTCGACAGTTCACAAATCTTAGATAAGGTATATACTCTGATTGAGATAGCTACGCCATACTATAGAAATGAACTTGTTTTTCCGTTTTTCCATCCATCAAAATCAACACATTGCTTTTTTTAAAGTTTCCGTCTTTTTTTGTAACATCTTACAAATGCTTCCTGTTTAAGGTCCACACCCGCTACAATCCCATTATCTAGACTCATTTTTTAGAAAAAAAAAGTTTTATGTAGCTACACCGGATCCTATGTCCTAAGAATTTTTCTAGTTAAGAGTTTCAATATTGTTTAATACATCTAGATTCTCATGTCTGTCCCCTTGAGATGTCCAAGAAAATCCAACGTAAGGATTTAGATAATGGAAAAGGACCGAAATTCTTATTATCAATTTAACTCTATTTGAAAACTACGTGAAGTCAATCAGTCATAGGAGCTCTCCTTAATCAAATCCCACCCTCGCTCTTTCGGACCCCTTAATACAACCTGCTTCTCATAATGTGATTCTTACAAGTCTCGGTTGACCCTTGGATGATATTCTGTCTGAAGGAACGTGATGTCCGTACCTGTTATCAAGCAGAGCGCCGTATTGCATGGGACACAAACGACGACGGCGAGCAACCAGAACAAAGTACTGACAGCGATTGTTTTATGCTTAAAATAATTGATGGCTAATTCAAATGTCAAGAAAGTTAATAAATTACTTACGAATTCAGGTAGTAATGGATAAAATGAGGTGATTAGCAGGATTACTTGCAAGAAAACCGCCACCATGTAACCGCCAACAATGAGAACTTTTCTGAAATAAGAACTGGGCATTAGAAGAGATGTGAAGACAATTTTACCAGCTTACCTATTTAAGACAAGTTTGTAAAGCATGAGGATTATGATCATTTGAACCAGGGGGAATGCCACTGATAAGTAAGCAGAAGCGGATGAGTTGAGACCGAACCTACGAAAGAAGTGTTGAGATAATACCATAGGATTATGAACCTATGAAAAGTCTTAGGACTTACTTCTCAAAAATTCCTTTGGAGAAGGCCAATATGGCTGGAACACCAATACTCTAAAACAAATGCTTAAATTATTATAGAAATAATTCCTGAAGCGTATTTCTCTTCCAAAATCAATAAAAACTCAAGAGTTCATAGCTTAAACCTGGCAGTTTATGATATTTTCTAAATGTGACCAAATCACGATGTCAAGATGTACTACCCACAGAAAAAACAAATTATACATTCTAAATTTCCACTTTCTTTGTTAACTCTTCGACATTTCACTTTAACCGAATGGTATAACCGCGAGGGCGACTACGTGAGTAATATTCTAACAATAGAAGTGATGAATCCTCAACACAGGGAATTAACTTTAAGAATCCAGAAAAGTAAAGCATGGGAATTGCTTCAATGTACCATGTTTTACTAGCATTTGCAAAAAAGCATATTTTAAATTAAAATTTTCTGAAATTTTGAGATATGATTTAGACGCGGAAAAGGTGGTATAAAGCGGCTAAAAACTGATTTCTACTTGATCCCCATTTATCCGAAAATGTCATTCAAGGATGTTAAATAAATTTCTCCAAAACTTACCACATTCAATCCCATCAGTACATAGATGAGAGCTGAGGGGAAAGACGAAGTAGCAGAGCATTGAGAGTTTTCACTCGAGAAAGTCTCCAAAGTGTAATTCGATTTTGGTTTCAGAAAAAGATAAATCATCCCTGTAAGAATG